GGACGCGCACGCGCGTGGTGGAGAACCGCAGCCGCTCCGCGCGCAGGGCTCGCAAGGGCCCCCGCAGCCACCCCCGGACACCCGCCGCGAGCCGGTGCCCTGAGCGCCCGACATGAACCGCAAGAAGCTGCAGAAGCTGACGGACTCCTTAACTAAAACTAGCAAGCACTGTAAGTAAGAATCAAGCGCCGGGCGGCAGAGGCTCCCTGGCCAGGTCTCCTGTCCCTCCCGGGGCGAGGGTCCCGCCTGCGGAGCCCGAGTGCGGGCCGAGCCCGTGCACGCCCAGCCCTAACGAGAAATCTGGGGGGGGAGCCCGACCGCAGCTCCTTGGGCGGCACCCACGCCCGCCCGGGGTCCCGAGGAGCGCTTCCAGGCATCCAGGCGCCCAGTTCCCCACACGCACGCACTCGCTTTGCAGACCCTCATTTAACGTGCCTCTGCGGCACAGAGGTGTGGTGTGTATGCCCAGGGGACACGCGCGGCTTTAGCCTCAGACGCAGACGGAAGACAAGGACGCAAAACCGCCGGACTCACGGAAAGTGGCACAACCAGCAGGCACCTGCTTTCTGGCTCTTCTTAGAGCAAATCAGCCCGCACAGGGCAAGTGCTGGGAACTTAGCAGGAGGCCCACGGGGGAAAGTGGGTGTCAGTGCCCACAGCCTCAGGAGGGATGAGCTGCGGGGGCACGGAGACCTGGACCTCGGAGCGAGGAGGTTTGCTGGGAAACCAGACTGATCTGCTCCCAGCTCTAGAGCCCACTTTCCACAGTTTCCAAAGCGAAGGAAACTTGGCAGGTGGCAAGAGGCCCCTATGGAAGACGTCTGCTCTCATCTCACAAGCACTCTGAAAGGTGGCCCTAAAATTTCAGAGGTAACTTTAGAATTGTGTGCAACTGAGAGGCAGAACTGTGCGTGGGCTGTGGATTGTGGCTTAGACCGGGAAGGGACTGTCTGACAAGCAGGTTTGTAAGGTGTGTGCTGATTGCAAAGCTACTGGCTCCCTGAAGAAACAGAAGCCGTAATCCCAAGGCCATTGGTGCAAAACAGGAAGAACAAACATGTTTTGATGTGGTTTTAGATGTGACGGGATCTACTCATATTTCATATCTAAAATAATGAGTGGTAGGAGATGCTTTCAGGATGGCACTGGGAATAAAAGTTCCAGTGGATATAAGCATCCTAAACTTCCAAAAAAAGTCATCCTATAATTAAGATATTATTATGATTATTATAATCTGATGAGAATTTTGTTCTGTTGTTGTTTTTCTTAAAATACTTCCATTTCTGGGAAAAGACCAGATCTCCTTAAAACATCTACCAAACTTTGAATAAACAATGCGAAACTGCTATACACAATGCTGAATTTGATTCAGTCTGTTTAGTGAGTTTACAACATGTCGCAGACATTCCAAGAATGTATTTAGAGGTGAATGTACTTAAAGATAAGTGAAACCATGGCAATAAAACCAGTCTTGATTTTTGTTCTTACATAAAATTTTTAGTGTTTAAAAATTCATTCATAAGAACCTTGATGATTATTAGTTAAATTCTATAGAAATAGTGACAAATCATGGACATTATAATAATTTTGAGTTTCTTTAAATAGAAAACCTTTCTCCTGAAGTCAGGTTTCCTTTTAGTTGCCAGGTGATAATCCCAGCAGGGTGAAGTGGATAAATTTTGTAGAATCAGAGAAGAAGAAATTCCCTTAAGTGGAGGCCTAGTTAATCTACCACACTACAGAACAGACTCAGACCAATCCAAAAAGAGGAAAGCCAGTTCTCAAATTTCCTTAACTTCATTTAGTTTTGTATTCTTGAATTTAAGAAACATTTCAGCAAAAAATAATTTATCTTACAGAAAAAAATTACCCATCTTGGAACCTTTGGGTAATAATTTAAGTTAATATATATTCTTTCACTTTTATTGCAGCCGAGATAGAAAAGTGGCTCATCTACCTTCCCTCAGCTAGCATTTCACACACGTAAACAGATTGTGTCATTCTTCGTGCAAGTTTTTCTTCCCCAGCCATTAACTTTGTTATGGAATGTTTTATGTTTTAGAATTTTGTTTAATTTTTAGAATATTTTTATGTGGGTAGATGTACGTAACATAAAACTTACCATTTTAACTACCGTAAGTGCACACAGCCTGTGGCAGTAAGCACACGCACACTGTTGTGCAACCATCACCACCGTCATCTCCAGAACCTTCTCATTTTCCCAAACTGAAACTCTGTCCCCAGTAAACTGTAACTGCACTTGCCCCAGCCCCTGGCCCATCATTCTACGTTCTGCCTCTGAATCTCCCCACTCCAGGTACATCATGTAAGTGAACTCATACAATGTTCGTCCTTTTGTGTCCGGCTTATTTCGCTCATAATGTCTTCACGTTCATCCATGCCATAGTGTGTGTCACAGTTTCCTTCCTTCTTGAAGCTGAATCATAATCCATTGTCTGGACAGACCACATCCTTCTCGCCCGCTCATCCATCCATAGATACCTGGCCGCTGTGAGCGCCGGTGTACGGGTGTCAAGGCCTGTGTTGTCCATCCTGCACGGTCCATGCCTAGCGGTAGAGTCACTGGATCTCGCAGTATTTCTCTGTTTCACTTTTTTTGAGGCAGTGACATACCATTTTCTATGGCAACCACTAGCTCTTTTTAAAATGATAACCATTACATTCTTTTCTACTATTTAATCAATTTATTTATCAATCATTTATTTTCCAAAGTTTTCAGCCTTCATCTTAAATTGTGGTCCCCAGAGCTGGAAATCGCCCTGGCCTGCAGGATGTGGTGTGATTTCTTCGTTCCTTTGTGCTGTCTTCCGTTGTGTGCATGCAGCCTCCACCCGTTTTTAAAAATACTCAACCATAATTTTGTCGGTTTTGAAATAAAATCTTCCCCATCTTCCACCTATACCTCCTATTTAACCTCACTGTCGTGTTCTTAATGCCAGACACCAACGCTTCCACCCGCACACCTCAGACAGCGATTGGGACACAGTTAGCCCCGTGTTTATAAACACCGCCCGCCCACAGTTACATGTGTGACAAGCTCACGTGTGTGTGCACACCCTGGAGATAAAAGTGTCCTTCCTCCAAAGTGCTGCTGGACAGTTGCATGTTTTCACATCATCCACCATGAGAACTGGCATGGGTGCTAAAAGATGCTTAAGTCCTTCCTTATTGGAAAGTAGCTGATTCTGGTTTCCAAAACCTGGATTACGGATTCACCAAGGCTGATTGAAATGAAAACTGTTGCCTTGCTTTCATGAGCCTGGTGTTGTATTCCCAGGGGAAGGTTAATTTGCAAGCCTCATCAATGCTTCTAATCAAAAAGTACCTTAACACCCCCTTGCTTGCTTTGACTCCTCCCTCTATGGCTTTGTCAAGCTTAGAGTCTGGACCCACAGTCACTCTGCGGGTAACTTGGCAAAGCTCTCTTCTTCTCTCCCAAGTGGGGCTGAACTTACACCTGCCTGAGGGAGGGGCTGCTGCTCCTGCCTCCATGGGGCCCTCAGGAGTGGCGTCTTCTGTTGGCCTGGGGGCCACGAAACTCAGCCCAGGACAGTCGCCTGTCGACAGCAACATATTTATGGCCTCAATGTTGTTTGTCTATAAAGTCTTCAAATGCAACATTTAAGCTAGAAACTAAAGATTAAAATGCATTTTGCCACGTCTTGATTTTACTCTTTCACAGTTAATAAATTTGAAGTGAAATGTCTCATCAGTCTTTTCTATAACCTGGTGGGAGATGTAACCGAGCGGCAGGGTGTGGTCATTGGACTCGATCGCAATGCGTTTCGAAACATCCTGCATGTGACATTTGGAATGACAGATGACATGACCATGGACAGAGGTAAGAGGACAATCTTCAGATGGGCCAAATCCAGCCATAACAGGGGAAAGTAGTTTGGGGTTTAGACATGCTCTTGGTGGGAAGCTTAACTTCTACATTCCCAGTTCCACCCAGAAATAAACCTCGGTTTATATTCATGGGTAGGGAGATGGGGGGCATAGGGAGGAGATGGGCGTAGGGAGGAGACGGGGGCTGTAGGGAGGGAGACGGGGGGCATAGGGAGGGAGACGGGGGGGCGTAGGGAGGAGATGGGGGCCGTAGGGAGGAGATGGGGCCTGTAGGGAGGAGATGGGGGGCGTAGGGAGGAGATGGGGGTGTAGGGAGGGAGGTGGGGACCACTCTTTCTGTGTTTCTGTGTATTTAAGAAGAGGACAAAGCTTGGCTAACTAGGTTTCCCTTACTTTATATTAGAAACCCTGAAATATTTCTCTTTCTACTTCATAAGTATAATAATAAAAAATTTGAAAAGGACATGTATATTTCCTTAAATCATCAAAAGTATTTCCATAAAAATAACATAATTTTATCTGTCACGTAATAGCATTACTCTTCTTGAGTAATAAAGACATAAAATCATATATTTTATGTTAATATATCAACGTATTTAATATACCAGTATGTTCATATGTGAACTGTTGGATCAATATGCTTAGACATTCAGAATTTACTTGTTCCCACAAAATGTCAAGGGACTCTTCCCAAAGCTTCAGTGAAAGTTCCCAGTGTTTCGACATCTCAGTGTCCTCCATGGTCAGATGAGGGCACGGGGCCACGCGGCCCTGTGGTCCTGCCTGAAAGGTGGGCAGCACCAAAGCAGACGCATCACTGAGAACAGAAGCCCAGCACGCGTGTCCTGCCTGCTTCTCTCTCCGCAGTTTTCCGAGGTTTTGACAAAGACAACGACGGCTGTGTGAGTGTAACGGAGTGGGTGTGTGGACTATCAGTGTTTCTTCGAGGGACTCTGGAAGAAAAAATGAAATGTAAGCCTTCACGTTGCCCTCTCGGCTTGTTCACGAGGTCCCTAAGGAGTCTAGCCCGGCGCCCTCCGGCCCAGCTGGGACGGTGGGCTTGTCTGCTGTCTGGTGGTTTGAATTCCCAGCAGCCTCTTTTATGGAGTGAATTCAAGTCAATGATAAGGATTGAAAAAAAAAATGAGAAAGAGGAAAATCAGGAGATTCCGAGGAGGAATCCGTGCCAAGCAAGACCGCGCAGGCTGACCACATATGCACACTTGTGTATGAAGGTGGGGAGCGCCTTGCATACCTCATCACTGGAGTCGGAACCACAAAGGGAGAGAACATGGGTGCAAGTGTTCCAACTCTTAGTTAACTCCTCATTCACTCCAGGGGGCTCCATTTCAGTCAGTTTCCCAAGATTTTCAAGATGAAATGTTAACTTGTCGGTGTTCCCGGCACGCTCCCCGCAGCTGAGAGTGAAGAAGGTTGTTCTAAGATTGTCGAGTAGAGTCGACAAGTAGGCCTGCAGCCCTTTTTACAGAAACCGGGTTGCACGGAGGCCTTTGGCCTGAGAAGGACATTAACACTAGAGCCCTGGGCTCTGACCACTTGATTAGAGCGAGTGTCCCCTTGCTGACAGTAGCAAATTCTTGTTGGTTATTTTTTTTCAAGATTGCTTTGAAGTGTTTGATCTGAACGGCGATGGATTCATCTCAAAGGAGGAGATGTTCCACATGTTGAAGAACAGCCTTCTCAAGCAGCCGTCCGAAGAAGACCCTGACGAAGGAGTTAAAGATTTGGTCGAAATAACACTCAAGAAAATGGTAAATATGGGCAAGCTAGGCCACATAGGGGAGAGAAGTAAGAATTCAAATCACCGTGCCCACGTTTCCCACGTAGTGAAGTAATGCCCTGAGAGCGTGCTCTTTTGTTACGTAGAAGTTCTCTTCGACGTCAGTATCTGCCAGCTTTCCCCTGCTGATACTTGAACTGGAGGAGCAGTAGGTATTGGTGGTGGTGTCAGCATGTTAACTGATGCATGGCTGGCCCCCCAGGACCGCGACCACGACGGGAAGCTGTCCGTCGCAGACTACGAACAAGCCGTCAGAGAAGAGACTCTGCTACTGGAAGCATTTGGACCATGTCTGCCTGACCCAAAGGTGACAGTACTGCTTTCGCTGAACAGTGACCAAAATATACCGTAGGGCCAGCAGCCCAGGGCTTCCTGGTTTGGGGGGTGATCAGGTGAACCACATTCCCCTCAGAGAATGGCTTCAGAAGAGAGAAAGCCCACTGAAGACAACAGCTGGTTCATGGCCTGGTACCTAGATGGATGGGTGGGTGGGTGGGGGATGGAAGGGTGGATGGGTGCACAGATCTCGTAAGTGCCTGGTGCAGAGTTCTGGATCTCTGTCCTTCTGTCTCCTCAGGAATTTCATCATTTACCTGCATCTTTGCATTTCAACCTCTTCCCTCACTACTAAAACCTTTCTATCAGAATTTAAACAGATCTAAACCTGTCGCATCTGACAAACAAAAGAGAAGGGAGGGAGGGAAAGAACGTCCCCGAATCCCACACCTGCCCCTATTTGCTGTCCGAGGCTTTTTCACAGCCAGGCGTCTTAGAAGAATTGTCCGCATTCGTGCCTTACACGACCACCACTTTCTCCTGTCTGCCCTTGACGCTGCTCTTGCCAAGGTCACCACGCCCGCCTAGTGAACAATCCCAAGGGTTCAGCTCTTGGGTTCTTGTCTTCCTCGCCCTCATCCCTTCCCCACCCCGCGCTCCTCGTCCAGCTTCTCCTGTCCAGGAAGCATCTGCGCTGCCCACCCCAGCCTGGCTGCGACATGGTCCTTCCTCCTGGACCCCCACTGTTGCCCACCCTCCGGCCCGCCCTGCGGGCTCTGGCCTGTGAGCCGAGCTCAGTGGGCGGGGCTCCCGGGCTGGACCACGTGGTCTCGCCTGCCTGAGACCCCAGAACTGCCCTGGGCCGCAGCGGAGTCACCCAGTTGCCAGCTGTGAGTGGTTCCTGACCCTCGCTCCTCCCCAGTCACTGCCGTCTCTCCAGACATTAAGGAGACACGGAGAACATTTCCTGTTGTTGTTCCCCCTTGTTGGAAGTCTGTACTAACGTGAGCACTTCTACTTCACAGAGCCAGATGGAGTTTGAAGCCCAAGTATTCGAGGAGCCACACGAATTCAGCGAGATGTGAATCCCTGAATGTCTGTGTTGTCTCAAGCGAGCGAATGAGGAGGCACATACAGACTGTGTGTCTTTCCTGCTCCGCTCAGGAGGTGACTGCGCGCTCGAGGGTGGGGGACAGGGTTGACCGACACGTAGCACCCGGCTTTGGTTAGGATGCAAGTAAATCAGCCGAAGACAGGAAGCTCCCTGTGACACGTTGCTGGGTTGGCCGGACGGGTTATGTGCTAGAGACGCCTTATCACCCAGACTTATCTGTTGACACACGTAACTGTCATGAAATGTTTGCATGAAGGAGATGAACAGAGAGATTACATAAGCATGAGTTATTTTCTTCATGTCAGAAAGATGCTGGGAATACATTTAAAAAATCACTGAAGCTCCTGAATTTCCTTTGGAGCAGTAAAGAGTCAAGACGACATCAGAGAGAAGGATTCTGGCAGCGGGCCCTGGAAGGTGTTTCCACTGGGCACCGAGGGGGCTCAGGGACACGGAGCCTGCATTCGAACGACCTGTGTCCCTGCCTGAGGCCTCAGCGTGACAGCCTGGCTGCCCGCGGCCAGAATGGGCCTCCATGAACACTGTGGGTTGAAAGTACAAAGAACCCCAGACAGACCCCCACGAGGGGCAGAGGGGCAGTGGGCCTTCCTGGGCCTGATGGACAAGGCCTGGCCTCTGGGGTCACCCCAGTGACCCTCGCAGGGGGATGCGAAGCCCCCTCTCTGTTCTGTCTCCCTCTGTCTCCACCGCCAGCCCCTCTCTGTCACCTTGGACCTGCCCCCCAGGATTCCTCTCCTGCAGCCCCTCATCCCAGGTCACAGCCCACGGTGCCCGCTGGCCAGGGACTCCTGCGGCCACCGCTCCCCCGGCCTCCTCCTGCCCAGCAGGTGTCTGTGGCCATAGACGGAGTGTTGGGAATGAGACCTCAGTCTGGTCCTGGGCTGCGCTCTGCCTCCCGCAAAGGCTCCCGGGCAGGCCGCTGGGAGGGGACACCTCTGTCCACCAGAAGCACTCAGAGGCTGCTCCACATATTAAGTCCCTTTTGTGATTGCATGTGCTCTGCTCTGATTAAGCAAAAACACACTGCGTGAAACAGAAAAGTAGACTGTTAAAAAGTGGACTGTATAGAAAATAGACAAACAGCAAGGTCCTGCTGTGCAGCTCAGGGAACCGTATTCAGCAGCCTGGGGTCACCTGTCAGGAAGAAGTGTGTGAGCAGGAACAGACGTGTGTACACACATGACCGCAGCACGCCGCCATGCACCAGAAACCAGCCCCCTGCAACTGACCGTGCTTCAGTAAAAAAGGGGGAAAAAGACTGCTACGAGTAAATGGAATATGCACCTTCATGAAATAAAAGCTCTTTTGCTGTCCAAGTGTCTTCTTAAAATGTTAGAGTCTTGGACTGTGACAAGATTTTTCTATCTTTTGTCGGCAACACAATATAGTTTAAATTTTTTATTGTACTTCTCTGAGTATCCATGATACAGGATCACTGAAGAGTATTTCAGAAGTTTAGGAAATTCAAAAAACAAAATTAAAATATTAATATTCTGGTGTAGACTCTTTTCAGCCTTTCTTAAGGCATTTGTAAGTATCCCCGTGGTTATGCACGGAGCACACCCGTGTGTTTGAGCAAGCACGCTGGATCGCGCTCTGTCGGCTGCTTTTTGTGTCCCACTGTCTCAGGAGCACTGTCCTGGGCGGGCAGACACTCGTCCGGCACCGCTTCCCCGTCGCACACACTTGCTTGTTCCCACATTTTGCTGTTACGAGTAATGCCCCAAATAAACTCTCTTTGTAGGTAAATCTCTCCACGTGCTCACTTACTGGGGGTAATTTTGCAAAAGTCAGAATGTCGGGTGAAAGGCCTGCATGATTTTGTGATTTCCAGCATATGTTAGCAGGCACCATCCAGGAGGGCCTGCCAGGCCCACGCGTGAGAAGTGCGGGTGCGCGACCTTCGAGCTCCTCTGCCAAGTCTGTGCACCGTGGGTGACCAGGATTTTAATTTATCATGTAAAGAATTCCGTACTTTTATATACCTGTACCTAACCTTTTTATTGCAGGCTGAGTAAAAACGGACTTCCATGTGAATAATCCTGTTTTATTACTTGACTATTTTTAAAACTAAAAAAGCCTTCCAAAAAGTCTAAATAATTTTGTTGAAACTGAAAATACTGTCCGCCCTGGACGAAGAACCTGGGGCTTCCCACCCAGTGCAGGGCTCGCCCCCGACCCCGTTCCTCCCCGTGATCTGTCCCAGTCGCTCCGTTCTGCTCTTCTCATTTCACTGCTGGAGCAACTCACAAATGATCTCAACACTGAGACTTCGCTCAGCTTAACAGCGGGGCGTCCGAGGGCAGCAGGTCCCTTTGAGGACGCATCCATCCCGTCTTGCTCTGCACCTCCCTTCCCGGGCTCAGCCAGTCCCTGCCGTTGGGCCCCGGGGTCAGGACCGCAGGGGAGCAGCCAGCGTCTGGAGGGTTGAACAGAGCCTCCCCCAGCTGGCTCCTCAGAGCGTGGCGTCCCTCCTCCCGCACTCAGGGGGCCCTCCGGGCAGGCTGCGCGCCCTCACAAGCAGCATGGAAAGACTCTGTTTGGGAAACAAGTACTTTTTTTTTAACTGCAGGATTTGAAAACCACCACTGAAAACTGGTAGTCCTGCATTCTTCACCTGCAAACATCTCTGGTGCAAGACTGCACTTGTAAGAAGCCGAGCCTGCAACTGCTTGTACCGTAAAATCACCCCGAGCATCCACAGGTCCCCGCTGGAGCTGAGCCACTGGTTACCAGCGTCCAGGCCAGTCCCTCTGCCCTCGCCGGGCCGGGACGGAGGGCTCTGCCACGCGGCCACCACTGCCACGGCCTGGATCCACCGCGACTCCCCCACACCCCAACACAGTTGTATCATTTTTAATGAGAGAGATTGTAGAGGGAATTCCAGTCAAATCTGCTTAAAACCCCAAAGACAGCCGTGTCGAGACGCCTGCTCTGAGCCGCCCCTCGGAGCGCCCGTCTGCCCGACGCGCCTCGTCAGCTACGTTCGCCTCCCCGCGGAACCGTCCCCGGTCCCCCACGGCCGCCGGGGCTGCGGGCCGGCTCTCGCCGGGTGTGGCCGAGACAGGGTGAGGACTCACGAGGAGCTGCCGCAGGAGCGACACAGTGAAACACACCTTCCCCCCAGACCCCGTTCACGACGACAGGCAGCTGACGGCTCCCAGCGCCCTGGTCCTGACATGTGGCTTTCCGTGGCCCCCCCCCCCGCCTCCCAACACACCGTCAGGAAAACACTCCTCCCCCGAGACTCACAGCCTCCCCGGCAGCCACCCCGCCCTGTTACGTGGCCCGGCCGGCCCCGCGGAGCGCCGCGCTGGAAGGCGTCAGGTGACTCCGTGCCCTCAGCCTGTGCCCCGTCCCCTGTCCCGTCTCCAGGGGCTCAGTGTGGACGGGGGACACAGCGGCTCAGAGCCCAGGGCAGTGAGCCGGCGACGGAGAGGTGCACCAGGTGGGCCGAGAATCTACCGGTTTCCTCTGCAAGTGGCTTTCTAAGTTGAATCACTGCCTCCCGCCAGGGCGGTGAGCCCAGGGCCGGCTACAAGATTACTTCAAACCACGTGATCGAGGCTTCCTTAAATCCTTCAGGATCGGAGGAGTCAGAGAGCAAAACAACCCCTGTGACCTCAACTGCACGGCGCACGAAGTCCAGGGAGCGCTCCGTCCAGGTTTCACGTAAACGCAGCTTCAGACCCACGCGCCCCAGGCTGCTCCATGGTTCACCCGCACGTGTGGAGGGGACCCCGGCTCCCTGCAGGGCTCTTCGCGTCTGAAACCCCTTGGAATTTTCTTCCTTTAGTTGTAGTTCCCAGTTTGCACGTAAAGGTGTCCGTGTTCAGTCCCAAGAGGAGCCTGGACACTAGGCTGGGGCCTCGCCTGGCCACGCGGCCAGACTGTGGCTCCGAGGTCAGCGCGTGAGGAGAGGTGGGGCCGCGGCCGGCTGTCGGGGGAGCAGAAGTCCTCCTGGGAAAGGAGAGGGCTGGACTCCTCCAACAGGGGACACGGAAGGAGCCTCTGGGCCATCCTGGGCAGCACCTGGAAGTCCTCCCCCTGGAGAAGCAGAAGGTGCCGAGGCAGGTGGCCACGCGGTCCAGCAGCAAACACAAGAGCTTGGTGACGACGTGCCTCTTGCCAGATGCCAGGACCCAGCCTGAGGACCTCAGCGAGTGGAGGCGGGTTTGCGGCCAGGCCCCGACCACATCCCCCGACCTCATCCCTGACCTCACCAGTCACTGGACTTTGAAAGTCTGACGTAAATGAAACATGGTTTGTAGACCGGGGGGGGGGGGTTGGGGGGCTGTAGTTACAACAAGACCGCAGGATCCGGGCGGCTCCAGGCAAAGTCGGACCTGGGGCCACCCTATTCACACGCTATAAATTACTCCAGAAGTGACACCGCATGTAAAATGGGGAAATGCCTGCTCTCTACCCCATCACATGGGGTTTTTGGAACAACAGAATGAGATAAGCCTGAGACAGCATCTTGTAAACTGTGAAGTATGATAAAAACCTGGAGGTGAAAGAGGTTTGCCTCCGACATCAGTGTCCCGGGGCCTCCTGAGTTCTCACGAGGAGCTTGTCGGTGACGAGGAAGATCGTGGCAACCAGGACTCGAAGAAATGGCCCTGGGCCCTCGCTCGTGACCAAACGTGGGCTTTGCTGAAGCCAAAGGGAGCTGAGGGATGTCTCTGGAAACAGCCTTAACAACCTGATGTATTTGCAGGCAGGACTCCCCTGAAACCAGGGCAAAACCCCGAGGGGAATTTTCACGAGTGTTGTTCTCTCAGAGTCAGTTTTTGTGACATCTCCCCCCATTAACACACATGCGCACACACACGCACTGCCCTCATCACAGACTCACAGGCGGACGCGTGCTAGTTCGTTCCCTTTAAGAGGCACACTCGAGTTCCTTGAATTTCCCTCTCGCCCAGCAAGACACCACTAATTCTGAAGCAGTCGGCACCGTCCTGCGCTCCCCACCAGCCGACCACGCTCGAGGCTCCGCGCGTTTGCTGCGCTGGCTGCAAGGTACTGGAGTGTTACTGAGAAGTTAGCGGGAAGCAGGGTCGCGGTGAAAGCACCAAAGCCTACAAGCGGCTGGGCAAACACGGACTTGCCTGCAAGTTCTGTGAGGGTCAGCCGGCCAAATGCGGACCTTGGCCGCCTTGCTGTGCTCTTAAATTGGATCATGTAAATTTGACCAAGTGCAAAGCAGGCCTTGTCTCTTTGAATTTCTAAATATGACTGGGTGCTGATTTTGACTCATGTAAACGCAGGAAGGAACACAGTGGCCCTAGGAATTAGGGTCAGTCGTTGCCTGGGAGGTGGGTGCACCTCCTGCTTGTCCAGGACCCTGAAACCTGTCCTGTTTGGGTCTGCACACAACGGGCGGCCCCCACGTCCAGTGTCTGCAGACAGAAGTCACACTGTCCCGCCTGCAGGGAGCACACAGGCCAGGAAACTGGAGTCGCCGTGGTCTCGGGAAGAAGGAGGGGGAGGAGATGGAGGGAGAGGGAGGGGGTCCACTGAGTCAGGGGCACGGTTTTCAGCGCATGAGATGTTTAAGAAAACAGAGATAAGACTGAGTGTTAAGGGGGTGGGGGTTGCCCCTCTCCCTTCCCATCGCTGTAGGAAACCCTCGGGCAAAGTCCCGGCCTGGCTGCGGGGGG